GGGCGGCGCAGGGCGGGGCGTGCAAGTAATGGGGGTCGAGGAGGCAGCCATCTGTGCCCGGGAGGTTCTGCCTCCGTGCGCTCTGCTGGAGACAGAAATGGTCGCCAAAGCTGGTCCGGTAGCCAGAGGGGCGGGCCAGGTCGGTGCATCGAGTTCCCGGTGCCCTGCCCAGACTCGGACCAGATCTGTCGCGTGAGGCAGGCCAAAGAGGACTGGGTTTTGGCATCACCCGGAGCTACGTTCAACCGATTTCCAGTTCTGTTCATATCACCACCTATATACTTACTCATAGCCAAACTGACGTGTGGACGTGGGCAGGGAATTTTGTGTCAACATGCACTGTGATGAGCCAGGAATAGTAGTTGTTCCCGCAGGATGTTCTGGTTCGATCGATTATGCTTCTTTATTTAGAAGTGAAATGACACCCCCGGGCTCACTGGCAACTGTGAACGTGACACCTGTCGCTAGGCAGCAGCCAAGAACGGTGGTCTAGGTGAGCTGGAGAGCTGTGTTTATTAGAAATTTATAAGTGTGTGTGCCTTGGGCATATTGCGTTACACCTCTGGGAAGAACATGGAAACCTGAGGGAACATATTGTTTCATTAAAATTACTTATAATTAACTCTGAGCTGTGTGATGGCCTTTGTGCATTTGAGTTCTGTATCAGTTTTCAGTGTTCTTTCCTGAAGCACCTTAGACAGCGAGGGGAAGAAAGGTGATCTTATCTATATCTGTCTCTTAAAGTGAAACTCTTTCTGGCCCTTCACCAGTGATAGAGACTGAGTAATGTGCATTTTGCACATGCAGGTTGGTATATGTTTTCCTAGCAGGTCCTTCTATCATTTAAACATTTTGAGAGCAGGGATCTTGCTGTGCAGGCGTGCACTGACATCATGCCATGGATAGTCCCATTCTTCCTTCTTGGGAGTTTCTAAAGGTGAGCTTAGAGCTACAGTTCTTATGTGCATTAGTGAGAACTGGTTTGGGTCAAAGCCAGAGGAAAGCAGAGTTGGCAAATAACAGTAGCTCTCTTTTGCTGAATGTCTGCTGTGTGCCAGGCATTGCATTTGTCCTGTTCCATCTTGTTTGATTTTCCAAATAAGCCTTGAGATAGGTGTAATTAATCTCCTTTATACAGATGAGAAGATGGATGAGGGGTAAGGATGTTTTCCAAGTATGCTTATTCAAGGAGACCAGCTTGAACCCGCACAGTGATAAAGCATTTGCTTTTCCTCTAGATATTACTTCCAATTTCCATCCATATGTTTATCCTAGACTTACCAAGAGCTCTCTTAGCATCTTGGTTGCTGAAGAAGGAAAGTCTTGTTGTCTGGTCTCTGTGGGTCATACCTACTAGGCCAGGGGGACTGCACCTGAGAACCCATGGTATCCAGAGAAATGGTATCTCCCTGGCCACTGCCCACATCAGTCCCTCTGTAACCACAGCCCTCCATGGTTTCCCTTGACTTGCTTAGAGCTTCGAAACATCTGCTCACTGCAGGTCTCCACCTTCGACCAAATGCCTTCTAACCCCTGTTTTGCACTAATATAAATCCTGTTACTCATAACCTTATCACCGCTTTCTGTTAGTGTAAATCAGATTTTTCATTAGTTTTAGAAAGACAATTTTAAGATGTTAAGCTGAAGTATAATGAATTGGGAACTACATAGTCTATGGCCATAATAGTCTATTACAGGATTTCTCCACTGCAGCACTATTGATATTATAGACTGGATAATTCTTTGTTTGGGTCAGGGGGGCGGGAGGATTGTCCATGCATTGTAGGATGTTTAGCAGCATCTTTGACCTCTGCCTATACGTGCTGGTAGAAGCCCCACCCCCATTCAGACATGGACAAATGTTCCCTGGGGAGAAACTCACTCTTGGTTGAGAACCACTGGTTTATTACATATATATCATTTACTTTGGGCCATGAACTATACAGCTGATGATGTTTTTAGAGGCTCTTCTGCTAGTTATGTAGAACCAATAAAAGCATGAATCCTGTAACAGTAAAGTGATATCCTTGCTTTAATTAAAATCTGCAGATATTAACTGGATTTACTTATTGTAAATTAAGATTTTTCAGTGGAAGCTAAAAAGGTAGAAAGGTTTTCTTCTTTCCATGACTGAGCAGAAAGAATTTGAGTAAGTTTCTAATATTGACTACCAGGATCATCAATATATTTAAGCTATTGTTTAAAGCAGTAGGTAATGCAATGTTGGAGATTTAGAGACCCAAAGCAGTGCACCTGGAAATTAAGAGTGAGTCCAGGCAAACTTAGACTTGAACATCCCATGTTTGCCAAGAGCAGAGCACAGCTCTGCAATCTTACTTAGCGGAGCAGGAACTCTGAGGGAAGCCTTTCTGCTGATAACAGCTCCCCCGCCACCCGGCTGGGAGTCCAAGCTGGACCTCAGTCCCTCGGTGGTAAAAGATATTTTAGGTAGAAAGAGGTTCTCAGAGCACATACTCTGACAAGGAGTGAAGATGGAGACCTGGTTGCTAGTCCTGGGTTACTAGGGGAACAACCTGGAAACTGGCTATCTGAAGTAGAACACAGTCAATGGCTAGTAGCAATGTACCAGTATATCCCATGATGTGGAGACAGATGTGTTCCTCAAACTTCCTGCATAGGAGAATGCCTTGGGACAGGGTACAAATAAAAGATTCTAGCTGACCTTGAACTTACTGGATCAGATTATCCAGAAAAGGGACCCAGGAATCTTCATGTTTTTTTATGCACAGCTTCTTTGCTTGTTCCCAAAGCACTGTCCCTTCTTGGGGCTTTTGCACTTGCTGTTCCATCTGTCTGGAACATTCTTTTCTTGAGAGCTGCATGCAGGGACCTGTTCATGGGTGTGTGGCCTGTGCAGTCATACAGGGCCTCATGCTTAGAAGAGCCTTATGCTTACAAGAGCCCTGCACTTGGTTTAATGCTCGCTATTGCCATCTTGAAATTTTTAATAATTTGTGAACAAGCGCCCCACACTTGCACTTTTCACTGAGCCCTACAAATCATGTAGCTACTCGCTCCTTCACTGCCTTCAAGTCTTTGCTTAAATATCTCCTCCAGGAGGCCTTCCTGACTACTCTCTGTCAACTTGCAGCCCTCTTCCCCTTCCTGCCCTGCTTTTGCAAACAGTATTTATCATTCATCTAATTTTTCTTTTCTTTTTTTCCAGTTCTATCTTTCTGGTGATACATTAGTGAATAAATAAATATCCATGCCCTCATGGAGGTTATATTTTAGTCAGTGGAGACAGTAAGTAAACAAAATATGTTATATGTCAGGTATTGATAAGCAAAATGAAAACAGTTAAGCAGGGAAAGGATATAGGTGGCTGCAATATAAAATTAGTATGGTCATGAAGACCTCACTGCGAAGGAGGTGATGGAGGGAGCCATGCAGATATCTGCGAAGAACATTCCAGGCAAAAGAAACAGCGAGTGGTGCAAAGGCCCCGAAGTGGGAACATAATTGACAAGTTTGGATCATTGTAAGAACTTAGGGCCATTGTAAGAACTTAGGGCCATTGTAAGAACTTAGGGCCATTGTAAGAACTTAGGGCCATTGTAAGAACTTAGGGCCAAGCATTGGCGGAGATTGAACAGAAGAGTCTCATGATCTTACTTATGCATTAAAAGGGTCACTCTGGCTGCTGCTTTGAGACTAGGCAGGCAGGGGTGCTTTTTCCCCCCCTCTGAATGAGTTGGGAAGCATTGGCGGAGTTTGAACAGAAGAGTTTCATGATCTCACTTATGCATTAAAAGGATCACTCTGGCTGCTGCTTTGAGACTAGGCAGGCAGGGGGTGGCGGGGGTTGGTGAGGGTAATGGAGGTGGTGGGGTGAGTGCCAAGGCAGGGAGACCAGAGAGGATGGAGGCTTTGCAATAATGTAGGTCAGAGCATAGTAGCTTGAACCAAAGCAGTACAGAGGAAGTGGTGAAAATGATTGGGTTCTAGGTGATTTGTTGACATGCTATACATTTTCTGCTTACTAGTTTACTGTTTCATTTGAGTATCTCTTCCATAGAGATGGACCATGGGATTCAGGAAGCTTCTCTATAGGAAATAAGAATGTGGACGTTTGAGAACCTGGCCAGGTCTGACACCCGATGGACTTCAGTTCTTCTGCCAGTGACTTAGGAAATATCTGATTGATTGATTGATTGATTGATTGATTTCAGAGAGGAAGGGAGAGGGAGATAGAGATAGAAACATCAATGATGAGAGATAATCATTGATCAACTGCCTCCTGCACGCCCCCTACTGGGGATCGAGCCTGCAACCTGAGCATGTGCCCTTGACTGGAATCGAACCCGGGACCCTCCAGTCCACAGGCCGACGTGTAATCCACTGAGCCAAACCAGCTGGGGCGACTTAGGAAATATCTTAATGACTCTTTCCACCATCCCTTTTAGTCATTCATAGATATTAATAACTGACATTCATTATTTTTTGAGCTACTTTTATTGAGCCTGGTTTGTTTGAGGCTCTGTGCTAGTATGCTGGGGCTACAAGATAACATATGCTGCCCTCTTTTTAAAAAAATATGTTTTAATTGATTTTTAGAGAGAGAAGAAGGGAGAGCAATAGAGAGAGAGAAACATCATCAATCGGCTGCCTCCTACAGGCCCCCTACTAGGGATTGTGTCTGAAACCCTGGCACGTGCCCTGACCAGGAATCGAACCATGACCTCTTGGTTCCTAGGTTGATGCTCAACCACTGAGCCACACTGGCTGGGCATGCTGTCCTCTTTTTATGCATAGTGAGTTTATCAGCTATTGCTTTCCATCAGCCTCTAGCTATGTGAGATGCCAGGTTGCTTGTGTGATTTATTTCTGTATATTCTGTGTCTAGCCTGAGTCTGGCACACGGTGGGCCCTCCACATATGGGTGGGTTTCATTCACAGGAAAGCCTGACTGGTATGAAGTCACTAGCCCTGGAGTTGAGCAGACCCTTAAAGCTGGGGCCCAGCCTGAATGAGGGGTGCAGCCTGCTTGACTTGAATTGTGAAGTTTGATTTGAGGCTAGCTCTCCAACCTGCAGAAAGATTACTGCTGCAGCTGGTACTTGGTGCTTCTTTCCTCCCCTGTCCCCAGCATTGGGTCTTTATATTGAGTTAAATATACTAGTAGATTTAGATGAGAGTATCTTTACCAGAGCAAGAGGTATTAAGAAAGCGGGTCTGGGAAACTGAAACTCTTTGAGCTGAGTTGAGAAATTATTAAAGGTCAGATCTCAGCCATGAACTTGCTTGGGCTGGAATTTCCCTGGCTACTCTTACCTCCATTGAGACAGTAAGGCCCCTGCCTAACCTAGTAACTAGATTTAGCTATGGCTCTTGCGGTGACCCTACTCTTCTTAGTGGGACGCAAGCCTCTGGAGGAAAGTTATCAGCTTCAGGCAGCCACTGTGAACTCTTCATTTGAAACCTGCAAAAAACGTTCAGAGAACAGAATAGAAACTGAAAGTGGGTAGGAGG